TTCTCTCTCTCTTTCCTTCTTTCTCTCTCTCTTTCCTTCTTTCTCTCTCTCTTTCCTTCTTTCTCTCTCTCTTTCCTTCTTTCTCTCTCTCTTTCTCTCTCTTTCTTTCTTTCTCTCTCTTTCTTTCTTTCTCTCTCTTTCTTTCTTTCTCTCTCTTTCTTTCTTTCTCTCTCTTTCTTTCTTTCTCTCTCTCTTTCTTTCTTTCTCCCCATCTCTCTCCCCTCCCCTCTCTCCCTCCCCCTCTCTCTTCCCTCCCCTCCTCCCTCCCCCTCTCTCTCCCCCATCTCTCTCTCTGGCGAGGCGTCCTTCCTCACATCTCCCCGCCCCTGTATCCCTCTGACCCCCCTCCCTCCTCCGCTCTCTTTCCCGCTCATGCCCGACCTTCTGGCATGCCCTGCTCTGCGCCAGACCCCCGAGCGCCTGGAGCCCAAGCGTGCATACCGCAAGGAGAAGCTCCTCGGCATGTCCACCGGCTCGGCTGGCTCACTGGCCAAGCGCTTCACCAGTCTCCTGCGCCCCTCTTCCTCGAAACACTCGTCGGCTGGGACACCGGTGCCGGATGCAGGCCGGCCCTCGGCCGGTGGCCGGCCCCTCACCCGGACTCACTCGGGGAGCTCCTACTCCAGCGGCACCTTCAACCAGTATGAGGAGCCTTCCTCCCGCAAGAGTAGCTCCTCCAGTGGCAGCTTCTTTCGCCAGCACCACCATCACCATCATCATGTCGGGCCGGACGGGGCCGGGGTCTTCCATTCGCAGCCGTCGCTCTCGTCTCCGGGCTCGGCCCTCGGCAGCGGATCGGCCCTGCACCAGCCGCAGCCCCAACCATCGGCCGGTCCCTGGTTCAAGCGCAATCACTCGGCCAGCTCGCATCACCTGCATGGGGGCTTTGCGGCCGGGCACACGCAAAATGCCCTGCCCATGGGCGACCCCGGTCCCGAGGAGCGAGCCGGCTACGCGGTGCACCCGCGCGGCCTGAGCGACACAACGGACCCCGCCTCCTCCTCCTCCTCCTCCTTGTCCTCGTCTTCCGGCGGAGCTGGCGGCTCACGCAAGCGCAGTGGCAACTGGTCTTTCAGCATGGCTCGGTCATCCACGCGCTCCTCCTTCAATGAGGGATCCTTCTCGCCTCCGGGCGGGACCTCCATGGGCTCCGGCTGGCCCGGCGCCAGCTCCGAGCCCCGGCGCATGTCGGAGGACTCCTCCGCGGCTTCCATGCACACCACCATCATCGAGGAGCCCACCTCCGAGGGGCGATTCGCCGGGATCCCGGCCGGGGGGCCATCGGCCACTACTCCGTCCACCACCGCGGCCATGGTCGTGCCGCCGCCGTGTTCCTTCCTGCACGACCGCGAGGCCGACTTTGACGTTGCCCACACCGGCGCCGAGGGGGGCGATCATGGCCGGCAGGACCGGCGTGGTAGTGTCAGCAGCGCGGCCAGTGCCAGCCTCGGCCTCGGCACCGTGTCCCCCCCGCCCGGTGGACTGCATGCCAGTGCCGAAAACCCGGCCACCTCGGCCCCGGAAATGGACCCCGCCCTCTCCTGGAAGAAGAGGATCTCCATCTCGGTGAAAAAGAAGCGCCGCGACCCCGCCCTGTCGCAATAGATGTTTCCCCACACCCCCATGCGGAATAAACTTGCTTTCCTCGCACACCGGCATCGGCTGTCAGGCGCGCCCCGCGCGAGGGTGCAAGCGTGGGCCGTGATCTCGGCCCCGGGGACCATGCAGCGTGTGACCTGGCTCCCACACTGCGCCCTGGGCAATGTCCATGCATTCCCTTTCGCTGTCTGTCTGTGTGTGCGTGTGTACTTGTATGTGTGTGTGTGTGTGTGTGTGTGTGCGATTGTGCGATTGTGCGATTGTGCGATTGTGCGATTGTGCGATTGTGCGACTGTGCGACTCTGCAATTGTGCGACTGTGCGACCCGACTGTGCGACCCGACTGTGCGACCCGACTGTGCGACTGTGCGTGTGTACGTATCGGCACAGGACATGTGCCGCAGGTTCCCGCACCTGCCCCTCCCAGCCACCCCTACGGCGTGTGCGGGGGCGCCGCCGGAAAAAAGAGAAAAGAAAAAAGAATAGACCCCAGCCAGCAGGAAAACAAATGAAACACCGGCCGGAGGCAAAAGAAGATGTTATTTGCAAGGGATCGGGCCGAAAAGGAGGCAGGCCGCAGGAAGCACACTAGGTGGACTTGACATCGGAGCAGGTGAGCGCCACACCGCGCTGGTAGGCCACCGGCGCCGTCATGCTGGACGACAGCCAGGTGGAGAAGAGAAGCTGCTTGCGCGCCGAGTTCAGGTACACCGGCAGCTGAATGGCATCGGCCGGCAGGACCACGCCGGCGCGCTGGTGCCAGCACAGCCGGACAAGGCCAATGGCCGCCCCGTGCGAGGGGCCAGGAACCACCTGGCCGGTGCCGGCCGCCGCCACCACCGCACACTCCAGACGAATGCCCGACAGGAGGAAGGTCCCGGGCGAGGCCAGATCGCGTGCGCGCGCAGCAGCCGCCGCCGCCGCCACATCCTCCCCGGCAGCCGAGGTCCCCTCGGCCTCGGGCAGGAACTCCAACGACAGCTGCAGCTCCTCCAGCGACCAGCCCCGGGCCTGGGCCACGGCCTGCTGCGAGGCAGTCAGGAAGGCCTCCGGCGCCAGCAGGCCACCCAGCCAGATGGGGAAGCCCGAGGCATCCCCACCAGCCGAGCCGCCATTGCCGCTCCAGGCCGCCGGGCTCCCAGCCAGGGCAATGAACTGCCCGCAACGACGGGCAAAGTCCCCGAGCCAGGCATCCAGGGAGATGCCCGGCGGCGAGGTGTGGAACCGCCGCCACGACGCCGGCACCGCATCCCGCGAGAAGTCCCGCAGCAGCGACCGCGAGTGGTTGGTCTGCTTGGCGGTGCCGGCCACAATGGCCACAAGCTCCGCCAGATCGCCGCGCACCGTGCGCAACAGCCGGCTGCCATTGCGCACTTCACGCTCCAGGCACCGGAAGATGGGCCCATTCCCGGCGGTCCGATCGACCGGGGCAATGGCCTCCGGCAGCACCCCGAGCCAGGTTTGCGCACGACCGGCAATCGCACGCATCCAGCCCGGCAGCGAGGCATCCAGCCCGGCCTCGGTCGATCCGGCAGCCACATGGCCAGCGGCCGCCGTGGCCGCCGCCAGCATGTCGTCCACCGTCTCCAGGGCCTCGTCATCCTCATCCAAGCCGCCCATGGCACGGAGCTTGCCCAGCAGCTGGCCACCCACCTGCGTCAGCAGGAGGTTGTCCGCGTCGGCCGGCAGACCGAGCCACGTCGGGGGCTGGCGGTCCGGCAGCTCGGACACCCAGCCAAGGAAGGCTTGCATGGTGGTGCCGGTGGGCGCGCGCAGCCCGGCCACCGAGGAGGCATCCTCCCCGGGGCCCATGTCGCCCGCGGTCGCCCCCTCATGCCCGGCCGCCACCAGCATGTACTCCGGATCGTAGGAAGCCGCCGAGAGGACCTGCCGAATGAAGGCCGCCAGGGTGCGCTGATCGAAGTCATTGTCCACACGACCGCCATACACCGACTCGGCCAGGATCGTGCGCAACGCACTCCAGGGGATGGACTCCGGCGAGATGTTGGTCCGGACACCCTGCGCCACGCGATCCACCCACCCATCGATCACATCGAAGGCACACCGGCGATCGGCGTCATTGAACTCGTAGGCCGTGGTCCAGCCGATCGGCGCGTACCGCAAGCGCTCCTGGATGATGGCATGGACCCAGGCCAGCAGGAAGAACAGCCGGGCACGCTCGACCGGCTGCTGGCCGATGCGCTCGGCCGGCAAGTCCGCCAGCGTCTCCAAAATGTTGGCCTTCATGCCGGGCGGCCGCTCGTACATGAAGATGCGCGACAGGCGCAGGATGGATGCCGGGATTTGCGGCACCACCTCGATGGTCATGAACAGCCGGAAGTCCGCATGCGGCGTCAGCGCATGCAGGCGCTTCTCCAATTGCGACAGCCACTGCGGCGCCAGGTGCACATTCTTCAGCAGGACCCACGTGCCGGCCTTGACCGCCGCCAAAATGGCCTGATCCGATTGGGCAAAGCCCTCCGGCGAGCCGATGGCAATGGCCCGCAGCGGGCGCTTCAGGTCGCGTGCCAGCTGCTCCGCCCGGAAGGAGGCATCCAACCCCGGCACCGAGCACAGGGCCACCGGCGTCCGAGCGGTCACCTCCCGCAGGACCACCTCCTGCAGGCGAGCCTGCTGCTCCGGCTGCTGGAGGAAGTGCTCCCCGAACAGCAGCCCGCAGAAGCGCTCCAACGCCGGCGACACCCGGTCCGGACGAAGGACCTTCACCAGCACCGCCGCCAGCAGGGCCTCCACCACGGCGGCCTGCCTGGCCGGCAGCGGCTCCTCGGCCGACGCATCCGGGCTGGCCGCCCCGAGGTCCCAGGCCCCGGCCGGCACCGCCACCTCCGGCGCACCGGCACCACGCACAAAGGCGCCCCAGGCTTCGGGGTCGGCGGTGACACTGGCCGGCAGCCCGGCGAAGGCCGGCAGGGCCAGCAACTCGCGCAGCTGCGCCAGCCGATCCGACGAGGGCGCCAGCCCCAAGGTGGCCACCAGGCCACGCGCCGCCCCATCCAGGCGCGCCTCCAGCGAGGACACCAGCCCGCCGGCCGAGGACGACCCGGTGTCCGCACCGGCCGAAGCACCGGCCCCGGCAGCGGCCGTCACATTCCGAATCAGGAAGTCATACAGATCCTCATCCAGCGATTGGCCCGTGGCCCGGGCGAAGGGCCGCGCCAGGAGCATGGCCAAGGTCAGCTGGTCGCTGTGCAGCAGGGCCGACGACAGCCGGCGGAAGGCCGTCCGGAAGAGCTGCTCCGTCAGCCGGGCCAGACGCGCAGCCGGCGCATCCTGCCCGGTGCCCGTGCTAGCAACAGCAGTAGCCGCCGCCGGGCCGACACTGGCCAACACATGGTTGAAGATCTCCATGAACATGTCCAGCGAGAATTGGTAGAACGGATGCAGCTGGTTCAGCTGCTCCATGGTGAAGAAGACCGCCGAGCAGGCCGCCGCGAAGGGGGTATACTCGGCCGTCACGGCCTCCACCTCATCGCGCATGGAATCGGTCTCGGAAATGCGCCCGGCGATTTCGCTCGCCTCCCGCTTGAGGGCCTCCATCGTGGTGATGACCGAGTCACTCTCCAGGATCGACCCCTCGGCCGCATTGAGGGCCTCCAGCAGGGCCCGCTCCAGGTGCCGCAAACGAGTCTGCAGCTCGCCCTGCATGCGCAGCAGATCCGTGCGCTTCTGCTCGATGTCCGGCCGCTCCGCGCGCAGCACACTATACAGGCACTGGCTCTGCAATGAAGCCCGAGTCACGGTGAAGTTGACGAAGGTCACCCGCGAGCAGAGATCCGGCCCAAAGAGGGCACTCGAGTCGCGGGTCACCAGGAACAGCGAGAAGGCCGGCGAGAAGTCCACATCCTGGGCGCCCACGCGCACCAGCACCCGGCCACCGGCCCGGCGGACTTCGCGATTCAGCAACGGATTCAGGATCGGATCCAGCGCCTCCACATCGTCCACCAGCAGCGGATTCCCAAAGCGCAAGGCCGCTTCCAGGTTCTTGACGAAGGACTTGTCCAGGAAGGATGTGTGCTGGATCTTCCGGTCGGCCAGCTGCCGCAGGACAAAGGCCCGGGCCTGGCTCGACGGATCGATCATCAGCGGGTACCGGTTGAAGCGCGTCAGCATGACGGCATTCTCGCTGGCCAGGTCGTCGGCCGGCAGGCCGCGCGCCTGCCACGCCAGCCGCTCATCCGCCGTGGACAGATACTCCGTCACCGACAGGTCGGCCCGCGTGGCGATGCCCGACCGACGAAGATGCGCCAGCCACCGGCGGAAGAGCAACTGCCGATGGGTCTGATCAAAGAACCCGGAATAGGCCACGGCCGCCGCGCATGCCAGCGCATCACCGGCCAGGGTGGTCATCTGCTGCTCGAAGGTCGAGGAGGTTTCCGACCAGCGCGCACGCTCCGACTGCAGGGAATCCAGCAGCCCGGTTGCCCGGGTCACCTTTGCCCGAACGGTCTCCTGCTGGGCCTTCAGCGCCTGGGTCTCCGCAATCAATGTGGCATACTCATCCTTGAAGCGAGTAATCGACTGCTCCAGCTCGGCGATGGTGGCCTCCACCTCGGCCAGCTGCACGCGCGCCGACTCGCCGGCCGCCTCCAACTCGGCCACCTCCTGGCGAAGGGGCTCCACACGCTGGAGAATGGTGGAATAGCTGCACTGGGCCTGCACCCACTTGACCAACGGGCCGCAAGCCTTCGACGCGCGGTTGATCACCTCGAAGTTGTAATCCGGATTGCTGAGGTACCGCGTGCGGATGTGCTCCCGCACGCCGGCCGTCAGCTGCTTCTCCGTGTTGTAATTGACAATCGACGTGATGAAGTCCTCCCGGCGCAGGGTCTGCTGGATGGTCTGCCAGGTGATGGCCCCGCCACCGGCCGGGCCGCCGCCCAGCATCAAGCACACCGGCTCCAGGGCCAGCGACACGGCCTTCGGCGGATTCGGCAAAGACCGGATCTCCGTCAGCTGGGACTTCTTGATGCCATTGACCGCCTGCTGGGCTTCCTCCACGGCCGGCGCCGCCTGGGCCAGGTCCACCATGACCGCCTCATGGCGGCTGGCAATCACCCGACTGGACTCCTCCACCTCCCGGCGGATGGCCGTCGAATCGACCTTGCGCTTTTCGGCCTCCTGCTGCCGCTGCAGCATCTCCTGCAACTTGGCATTGGCCTCGGCATTCTTCCGGTCCAATTCGGCACTGGTCACCGCCAGGGTCGACTGGAGCTCGGCCACCGCGTCGAAGGTCTCCCGAAGCTTCTTCAAGCCCACGCTAATGTGCAGCTGCTGGGCCTCCAACTCCGAGCGCTTCTCCTCGAAGAGACGCCCAAAGTGATGAATCAAATCCAGGAAATGGCGCGGCGTAATGTGCAACAGACGCCCATGGCGCTTGGCCACACGCGCACACACCTCCCCCAGGGAGGCATGCACAAAGACCAGCGCATTGACCAGCGACTCCCGATGCGAGGGGGGCAATTCAATCACCGGCCCCAGGTCCGGATGTGCCAGCGGGAAGGGCCCATACTGGGTGGGCACCGCGAATTGCCGGCCCCCAGCCGCGTCGAAGTCCAACCGATGCGTCAACTCCGAACCCACCTGGTACAGGGCCTGCGGCGACCAATCGCCAAACCAATCCAACACACAGCGGTTGAAGAGAGCCGGCGAAGTGGCCGCCCGGCCACCGAGGCCGCCCTCCGGCGGGTTCATCGTGAACACCACATGCAAATTCCGAGTGATCTGCTGGGTGAACCACCGGTACAGCTCATCCGGCGTGTCAATCAGCAGCCCCTCACGCTGGGCGCCCTCTCGACAGGCGGTCATCAGCTGCGCATGGTCATCCCCCTCAAAGAGCCCCGGCACTTCGCCATTGGCCAGCAGGGTGTTCATGCGCTCCAGGAAGCCCGTGTCCAGGACATTCCCCTCGTCCATGACGAAGCAAATCTTCTCCCCCCGGCAGCCGGTCCGCCGGAGGACATCCCGCAGATCGTCATCGAAGTCCTCCATGCTATAGGCCGCATGGGCACGGATCTGGAACAGGGTCAAGCCATTCATCCAGGCCACAAAGCGCGTGAGGGTGGTCTTCCCGGCACCCGAGACACCAATCAACAGCGCATGGCCCTGGACCTGCTTGAAGACCCGGTCAATGCGCAGCACATGCTCCAGCACATCGTCAAACAGCACCAGCGGCACATCCAGCTCCTCCTCGTGGAACACACGCAAACGAGCCTTCATATACTCGCGCAGCTGCTCGCGATCCACCGGCAGATAGTGCTTCGACAGCCAGTCCGAGAAGAGAATCGGCCGCGCCAGGGCCGACACCAGATTCACACCGGCACCGAAGTGCTTCTCGGCCACCGAATCGATCAGGGCACCGGTCCAGGCACGCTCCTCGGCCGACACCAAGCGATCCGAGAACAAACGCAGGGCCTCATGCGCCCACAGGCGCACCAGGAACTCCCCATCGGCCAGGACCCCGGCCGCATCCAACGGCCGCAAGGCCTCATACACACCACGCACCCAGCGAGTCAGCTCGCGCGGCGAGTAGATGTAATGCGCCTGCTGGTCCGGGGTGAAATGCCGCTGACTGGCCAGATACACATCCACCATGGCATGGGTCAGGGGCTCGGCGAAGGACCGCAACCCACTGGGAGCCGCCTTCAGCAGGGCCCGACAGAAGGTGCCGTAAATTTGATGCAGCGACGTCTCGCCCGGGTAGTCCACCATCAACAGCGGGCAATGCCGCAGGAAGCGCCCGGTCAAGGGCACACGCCCGGGATCGGTGGGAGGATTACAGGCACCGACAATTTGGATGCGCTCCAGGCGCACCCACTGCCGGTCCGACGCACCGGTCCCATGGCAACGCCAGAACCCGCCGGCCTCCACCAGCTGCCGCATGAACGAAATCACCCGCTGAGTGCCGTACTTGTCCTGCTCCGGCAGGTTGATCTCATCGCAGAAGAGCACCAGCCACTTGCCGGGCTGCGTCGGGGCCAGGATCTGCCCGGCCGGGGTCTTGCGATACTCGCAATACTGCTCGAAGGTGCGCAGCAGCAACTCCGGCGTGGTGGCCGAGGAGAAGTTCAACCCCACCACATCCACATCCGGCAGGGCATTCAGCGCGGCGAACAGGGTCATGGTCTTACCGGACCCGGGAGGCCCGCACAGCAACAGTGGCCGACGCTCCGCCAGCCATGTGTACAGCACATCCTCATGGCGAACCGTGTCCACCGTCGGCACGACCACATCCTGGGCCGTGACCCGGTGCGTCTCGATGTCCACCACCGGCACCCGGTTCTGCCAGAGGCCCCAATCACCGGAGGCCACCTGGACCTCGTAATCGATGAGCGACGGAGGGGCGGCCGAGCTCCCGGCCGGGAGTTCCACACCGGCCGTGCCCAGCAGGAAGGCCCCAAGCACATCACGCTGAGGCAGGCGACAATCCCCGGAGAAGGCCCACACCAGGCAATAGAGCAGGCGCCGGACGCAATACCGCTCCACGGTGTCGGCCGCCAGCGGGAAGTCCGGATGCGACTGGTTGTAATCGAAGACATTGCGCACGGTCTTGTTCAGCATGGCGAACAGCGTTTGCAACGCCCGAGCCGGGGAAAATTCCATGATGTGCTCCAGCTCGGCCGCCCGGCGCAGGGCCTGCGTCACGAGCCCCTCATCCGCGAAGTACGGCCGCCAGACGCGCGCGCAATCCCGCTGCAGCACCAGGGCCGCCGGCAGGTCGCCGCCCTCGGACCCGGTGGTGGCCGCCGTGCCACCACGACGCCCGGCACCCTCGAACATGGCATCCATCCCCGGCAGGACATCCGCCTCCAGGGCCGCCAGATAATGGTGATACACCATCGGCTGGGACACCACATCATCACTGAACCAAACCATGCCACAGCGGGACACCGTGGCCAGAGTGGCATACTTGAGATCCTGCACCTCGAACATGACACGCACATTCGGCGGCAGGGACAGGCGCTCGCCATTGGGCAGGGTCAACAGCCGGTTGTCATCCAACACGGAGTTCAGGTTCTCCACCCACTCCGGGTCCACGTCACCATCGAAGATGATCCACTGGCGGCGGTTCAATTCACCGCGCACATTGTCCAGCACCCGGCGCAGGATCCCCGTAAAGAGGCCGTCCGTCCACTCGCGCGTCGTCGGATCCAGCGTCCCATACAGGGCCTCCTTCGGAATGGCCTTCGGGTCGATGACATGCGCCACACCCTCGATGCCATCCACCTGGCGCATGGCCGCCAGCAGCACCGACCAAGCGGTGGACTTGCCGGTGGCCGCCGGGCCCACCAGCATCACACCATGGTTGATCTTGTGGATCTGGTACAACTGCAGGACCTTGTCCACCCAGGCATCCGCCGCCACCAGGTGGCGCTCGCGACAGATGGCCTCGATGGCCTCGCGCAGGGCACGCGTGTCCGCCGGCCGGTAGGGCACCCCGGGGAAGACATCCTCCAGCAGGCTCCGCAGCAGGGCAATGTCCTCGGCCACCAGCTTCGGCACCACCGTCTCGGCCACCGACTGGATGAGGATCTCCTGCTCGGCCAGGGCCGAGGAAGCCTGGGCCACGGCATTGCCACGATCGGCCGACCCCGGCCCGGTGGCCGACAAAATCCGATCGCGCTTCAGGTTACCGGCACTCACCAGCACCGACTTCAAGGCGCGCAGGCCGAAGTCATAATGCGGCTGCGAGGACAGCTGCTCGGCGCACAGGTTGAAGAAGGGCACGATCTTGGAAGCCAGCAGCTCGGCCGACCGGAACCCCTGCGAGAAGAGCATCACCTGGGCAATGAGCTCCCGGTCGGGCTTGGTCATGGCCATGCCACGGAAGAGCTTCTTCAAGTTGTCCGGCAGGTTTGACCGGCCGGCATACCCCGGGTTCATGGTGATGAAGATCCCGGTGCCCGGGTGCACGGTCAGCTGCTTGCCCACCAGCTCGATTTCATTGGTGACAGCGGCCCCGGATGCGCGCTGATCCCGCAGGGCCATCTGAATGGTTTGGATTTGCTGCGACACGGCCGACAGGATGCGCTCCTCCAGACGATTGAACTCATCGAAGCAGCCCCACGCGCCGACCATGCACAACCCCACGAAGATCCGGCCCATGGCCTGGAAGTCGAAGGTCTCATCGCAACAGAACACCAACACAAAGCGTCCAAGCTGCGCGCCCAGGGCCTTGACCGACTCGGTCTTGCCGGTACCAGCCGGGCCGAAGGGCGAACCACCCAGGCGCAAGTCCAATGCCTGAGTCAGGGTCATGTAGCACCGGTCCGTCAGCGGCGTCTGCACCAGCTTGTCCACCACGCCGAGATACTCGAACCCATAATCGAAAGAGGCATTGGCCATGCGGATGGCCAACCGCCGCAGCGGGTCCGCCCCCTGGGCATCATGGTAGAAGCGCATCTGGTACAGCCAGTCGAAGGAGCCGACCGATGTCACCCGGTCGGCCACCAGCCGCCGGATGATGTCGCGCTGGTGCACCATCTCCGTGATCAGGTGCTCGCACTTGCGCCGATACAATCCATCGATATCCTGCAGGACCGTGTCAGCCAGAACCGTCAGCACATGCTCCACAAAGCGCAGCAGCGCCCCGAGGGCCTGGCCAGCGGCATCGCCATCGCCGGCACCCTGGGCCAGGGCCCGCTCCACATGCGTGGTCCAGGCAACCTGCGCCGCGATGACCACCAACTGCGCCGGGAAGCGCTGGACCCACTCCAGGAAGGCCGCCTGGCCGAAATGCTCGCCCACCGGGGCCACGGCCAGCGCCACCACCGGCGAGTCGGCCCCACCACCATCGGCAGCATCCACGGCCGGAAGACCGCCCGGGGAGGCCCCAATGCCGGCCGCCGTCTCGAAGGCCACATCGATGGCCCCCTGCTGCAGAGCCAACAGGGCCAAGATCGACTCATCCAGCAGGTGCGCCAGCGACAGGCGCATCTCCTGCTCCACCTGAGCCAGCCACTCATTGATCTTGGGCTGCGCGCGCAGGTCGATCGGCGTGCGGAAGGGCACGGTCTCGCCCTCGCGCGAGACCATGCCCAGCACGGCGGTCGGCACGGCATCGGCCGACGGGGCCCCGGTGCCGGCGGTCGTCGCCGATGCGGCGCCCTCCCCGCCGGCCCCCTCGGCCGGGCTGCTGTCGGCCAGCGTGGCCCCGGTCGAGCCGCCCTCCAGCACCAGGGCCGAAATCCCGGCGAACATCTTCTTCAAGTGCTTCTGGATCTTGTTGGCATCCTTGGCATTGCCAATGATCTCCAGCAGGTCCTCATCACCGACGAAGTAGAACCGCGGGAAGGAGGAGCGCTCCTTCTCCAAATACTCACCGAGGGCCTTTTGCACCTTGGCCAGCATGTCGGCCAGGCGCTCCAACGACCGCGCAATGTTCGGGATGGCAATCACCTCCAACACTTGCGGGTCCTTGGCCACCCGGCGCAAGAGGGTCAGGAACTCCTGGTTGATGGACTGGAACCGGGCCGACTCGGTGGGCAACAAATTCCGGATGTCCGCGGACCCGGTGAAAATGCCCTCCAAGTACACCCACTGCCGCTGGACATCGATCCACACATTGAAGATGGCATTCACCCGAGTCAGACGCTCCTCCCAGGTGGCGGCCGTCCCCTCGAATTCCTTGTAGTACGGCGAAATGCGCATCGCCTGCAGGGCGCTCAGGTGCTCATTGCACCGATTGAACAGGTCATCCCAGCCACGGATGAGGTAGCACTTGTTCTGGTAATTGACCAGCTCCAGCTCGAAGGCCTTCCAAGTTTCCTCCACCGTGCGCAGGTACTCCTCCAGGGCCAGCTCGCCCTGGGCAACCACCAGCACCTCGCGAATGGCGGCCTCATTGCGCGCCGGGCCCAAGTCCCAAAGGAACTGCAGGGTGATGTCCCCGAGGGCCACACGCCGGCCGAGGCCGGTCGCACTGCCAGGCCCGGCCGGACCGCCGGGCTCCCCGACACGCAGGCGCCGGAAGAGCATCTGCCAATGGCGCTCACGCATGGCATCGCCCTTCAGATCGCCGATGACCAGATTCGCACGCAGCAGGGTCCGCAACTCGGCCTGCACATACTCGAAGGCGGCATACTGCTTGAGCTGCACCGGCAGCGCGCGCAGCGCCTCGGACAGATCCTCCAGCGCATGGCGCACCTTGCGCGGCTGGATCGACGCCCAGGGGGTCTCGCCCAGCTCCCGCAGAGCCGCCCAAATCTTGGCCAGATCCTGCCACACCAGGCGCAGATCCTCCAACTCGGCCAGCATGAAGAGCACGCGGTTCTCCCCGCCGGCCGGCAAATTCAGCGACTCCTTGGCACGCTCCAGCTGGATCCACTCCTCCGACAGCCGGCCGAAAGTGGCCTCAAATTGAGCCAGCGCAGTGAGCGCCGCCGCCGGCCGGGTGTCCCCGCGCAGCGGCTTGTTGGCTGCCCAATCCGCCTCGGCGGCCTGGATTTGCTCCAGCAAATGGGCATCCTGCTCGGTGATGCGCGCCTGCAAGGGCGCCAACTGCCGCTTGATCTCCTCATTCCGCTTGGACAGGGTCAGCTGCAGGGCCTCCCACTCGGAGTCCAGCCGCTCGAAGTACAGCCACCCGGCCGGGAATTGGAAGCGCAAACGCCGGAGCAGGACCTCGCAGCCCTTCAGCGTATCCAGCGATGCGGCCCAGCCCGGCACCCGACGGTTGACCTCCTGCACCAGGGTCACGCAGGCAATCGCCGCGGCGGTGCCACCACCGCTGGACCCGGTCGCCCCACTGGCACCAGCCAGCCCGGTGGCATCGGCCCCGGCGGAACCCAAGCGCGAGTCCTCCAACTGCAGGCGAGCCTCCACCAGCTGATCGAACAGGGTGCCGGTGCTCTCGCGCAGCAGCCCACCAAAGTGATTCAGGAGGCTGGCCTGCAGGGCGTCATACCGCGAGGTGACCTTCTGCTGGATGTGGCCATAGTCGATGGCCACCGCCACACCGAACTCCCGCCGGGACTCCGACGTGTCGAAGGTCGACCGGGCATTCCGAATGTCCGCCAGCAGAGTCCGCCACAGGGCCACATCGGTGGACAGACGCTGAGCCACATGGGCCTCATTCAGGTCCCACAGGGCCTGATAGCGCAGCCAATCCGCGACATACGTCCCGACCGTGGCGATCTTCGACTCGACCGCCTCAAAGGCAGCCTGAAGCTCGCCCGAGGCCACCAAATCCCGCAGCAAGAAGCGGAAGGTGGCCGCCTGAGTGGCAGCACCACTGGCAGAGCCGCCGGCCCCGGCCGCGGTGACCGCACCGCCGGCGGCCGTCACGTCACTGCCCCCGGGGCCCGGCAGCGCCGCCGGAGACCCAGGCCCACCGGCGGCCAGATCCAACGCCGACGACCGCAGCACGCCCAACTGGCACACCGGGCTCAGGAAGGTGTACAGCCCGGTGATCCACATCGACCGGGCCTGCTCCAGAGGCGGCTCCAGGAAGATGACCTGATTGCGCAGCAGCAGCTCCAGCACCAGCTGGCGCATGCCACGCAGGGCCTCCTCGGCGCCGGCCAGTGCCACCGGATCCGCCACGGCCTCGGCCTCCTCGTCCTCCGGATCGAGATCGCCACCGGCCGGGCCCCGGCCCGCGGACCCGGCATCCACATCGACAGCCTCCCGGCTGAAGACATGAATCCAAGCACGCACCGCCAGGCGCAGGCGCTCCAGCAAAATGCCAGACATCCGGGCATTCAGCCCGGCCACCCAGTGGTCCAGATTGCTGAAGTTCAACAAACTGATGGAGTTGACGATGGCCTGGGCACGGGCCCCGATGTCGAAGAAGGCCCGTGGCAGGAAGGGACACGTGGCCAGCTGGGCCAACACCCCCTCCAGGGCATCGACCTTCTGCCGGAGCTCGCCGAAGGCCGACCCGAAGGCCGACACCAGTGCCGTCAGGTGGGTGATCTCCCCGGCACCGGTGCGCACCTCGCGCACCGACTGGCTCCGGCTCAGCAGGCTCCAGGACAGGGCATTCACCTGGACCAGCTGCGCATGGATCTCCTTCTGCCGGCCGGCCATCAACAGCGACAAGTCCGGCCGCTGCTCCAGCACCCCGCACACGGCTTCGTACATGGAAATGGTCTCACGCAGGCTGGCCGCCAGGGGATACAGGCGCCGGGCCACCATGGCCACCGAGTGGATGTCCCGCGGGGCGAAGTACCCCAACCAGGCCAGGTGGAAGGTCTCCTTGAAGAGGGTCTCCAGGCTGTGGCTGAAGTTGACATCCAGGAAAAGACGCATGCTGGTCGTGGCCGGGGCGGCGCCGGCGCCGGCCACACCGGCCCCGGTCAGGGCCCGCACCGGGCCAGCCACCTGGCGCCGATCCACCAGCAACACCCCGCCGGCGATGCGGAAGGAGTAGCTGTGCGCCCGGCAAGTGTTGACCCAATCATTGAAGAAGGCCACCGGGTCCAAGCGCGAACGGAAGGCCTCGGTCGAGGCGGCCAACTTCTGGCCGGCCGCCTGCTCCTTCCAGGAAGACCCGAGCACCGACTCGATGCGCTGCACATAGCCCGCCAGCTGCCGGGCAATCTGCTGGGCCCAGGCAATCTGCCCGGTCACCGGGGGCAGGCCGCGCTGCTGGTCGAATTTGGCCGCAGCCGAAGAGTGGTACCCGCGGATGAAACGCTGCTGCAACAGGGCAATGTCCTCCTGCACATGGCGCAGCAGGTCCGCCTGGTAGGTGTGCACGGCGGCCTTCACGCCCGGGCGATTGAAGAAGACATTGAACTGCGACAGGGTACGCAGCATGTCGGAAGCCGTGTGCGACACACTCAGCCGCTCGCGCAGCAGGGCGATGATCAGCCCCTCCACGCGCTTGATCTGCGCATCGTACGCCTGCCGCGCCTGGCGATACAGCTGGGCCCCCTCGTCCGAGGTGTCCAGCACGTCGGCCGCCGCGAAATCCTGATACGCCTTTCGGACCACGGCCAGGGGGTCGATGTCGGCCGCGGCCGCGGCCGCCGCCGCCGCCGCCGCCGCCGCCGATGACGAGTTCGCTCCCGAGGACGACCCGCCCGCCGACCCGGCGATCAGGCGGGCCCCGGCTCCGAAGACCGAGCCGACGGTCTTCTGCAGGGCCTGGTGCTCCATGAGGAAGGTGCGCAGCAGCTCCAGGCGAGTCTTCAATGCGCCGATGTCCGAGCCGATCTTGATATAGTGGCGGTCCTGCCGGCGCTGGAAGTTATCTCGCGCATAGGTGACCAGCTGCGAGCAATTCTGATCCCATGCCGAGAAGATGGTGAAGCACTCGCTCAGGCAGGCCACCTGCTCCTCGGCGCCGAGGTGCATCAACCGCATGTCCTGCAGGATGCGCACCATCTGCTGCGTCAAATCCTGCGACATGGAGAAGGCCAGGATCTGGATGTTCTTCAGGGGGTAGTTGGTGATGCGAACGCGCTTGATCATATGCTGCAGCACGGTGGACGAGGCATCCCGGAGCTGGCTCAGATTGGTGGCCAGGACGATCTCGCGCACGGGCAGATCCCGCAAGAAGATCATGTAGCGAGTGGCTGAGGCGGAGGGGGGGGGGG